GGAATAAGCATGGACAAAAAATAAACAAGGACACAAGGAATGAAAAAGGACATATGGAAACAACAAGGACATAAAGAATAAGCAAGGACATAAATAATAAACAAGGACAAAAGGAATAAGCAAGGACCTGAGGAATAACAAGGGCATAAGGTAGCAAAACGGACATCAGGAATAAAGGATATTAATAATAAAGAAGGATTTTATAAACAAGGGCATAACGAAACAAAACGGACATAAGGAATAAAGGATATTAATAATAAAGAAGGATTTAATAAACAAGGGCATAACGAAACAAAAAAGAACATCAGGAATAAAGGATATTAATAATTAAGAAGGATGTTATAAACAAGGACATAAGGAATTAAGAAGGACATAAGGAAAAAACAAGGACTTAGAAAACACCAAGGACATGAGGGATAAGCAAGGACAAAAAATAAACAAGGACACAAGGAATAAACAAGGACATATGGAAACAACAAGGACATAAAGAATACGCAAGGACATAAATGATAAACAAGGACATAAGAAATATGCAAGGACATAAGGAAACAATAAAGGACAAAAATAATAAACAAGGACATAAGGAATAAGCAAGGACCTGAGGAATAACAAGGGCATAAGGTATCAAAACGGACATAAGGAATAAAGGATATTGATAATATAGAAGGATTTAATAAACAAGGGCATAATGAAACAAAAAGGACATCAGGAATTAGGAAGGGCATAAGGAATAAGCAAGAACCTAAGGAATAAAAAGGACATATGGAATAAACAAGGAGGTAAGTAATAAACAAGGACATAAGGAAACTACAAGGACAAAAATAGTAAACAATGACATTAGTAATAAACAAGGACATAAGGAATAAACAAGGACATAAGGAATAAACAAGGACATTAGTAATAAACAAGGAGATAAGGGATAAGTAAGGACATAAGGAATAACCAAGACGATAGGTAATAAACAAGGACATAAGGAAACAACAAGGACAAAAATAGTAAACAATGACATTAGTAATAAACAAGGACATAACGGATAAACAAGGACATAAGGGATAAGCAAGGACATAAGGAATAAACAAGGACATTAGGAATAAACAAGGAGATAAGGGATAAGCAAGGACATAAGGAATAACCAAGACGATACGTAATAAACAAGGACATAAGGAAACAACAAGGACAAAGATAGTAAACAATGTCATTAATTATAAACAAGGACATAACGGATAAACAAGGACACAAGGGATAAGCAAGGACATAAGGAATAAACAAGGACATAAGGAATAAACAAGGACATTAGTAATAAACAAGGAGATAAGGGATAAGCAAGGACAAAAGGAATAAACAAGGAGATAAGGGATAAGCAAGGACAAAAGGAATAAACAAGCACACAACGAATAAACAAGGACACAAGGAAACAAAAATGACATAAGGAATAAGAAGGATATAAATAATAAAGGACATTGATAATAAACAAGGGTATCAGGAATAAAAAGGACATAGGCAATAAACAAGGACATTCAGTATTGAAGGAAATAAGGAACATACAGGAACATAAGGAAACAACAAGGACTTAAAGAATAAACAGGAACATAAGGAAACAAAAAGGACATAGGAAATAAACAATAACTTAAGGAATATACAGTAACATAAGGAAACAACAAGTACTTAAGGAATAAACAGGAACATAAGGAAACAACAAGTTCTTAAGGAATAAACAGGAACATAAGGAAACAACAAGTACTTGAGGAATAAACAGGAACATAAGGAAACAACAAGAACTTAAGGAATAAACAGGAACATAAGGAAACAACAAGTACTTAAGGAATAAACAGGAACATAAGGAAACAACAAGTACTTGAGGAATAAACAGGAACATAAGGAAACAACAAGAACTTAAGGAATAAAGAACATAAGGAAACAACTAGAACTTAAGGAATAAACAGGAACATAAGGAAACAACAAGTACTTAAGGAATAAACAGGAACATAAGGAAACAATAAGTACTTGAGGAATAAACAGGAACATAAGGAAACAACAAGAACTTAAGGAATAAAGAACATAAGGAAACAACAAGAACTTAAGGAATAAACAGGAACTTAAGGAAACAACAAGTACTTAAGGAATAAACAGGAATATAAGGAAACAACAAGTACTTGAGGAATAAACAAGAACATAAGGAAACAACAAGAACTTAAGGAATAAACAGGAACATAAGGAAACAACAAGTACTTAAGGAATAAACAGGAACATAAGGAAACAACAAGTACTTGAGGAATAAACAGGAACATAAGGAAACAACAAGAACTTAAGGAATAAAGAACATAAGGAAACAACAAGTACTTAAGGAATAAACAGGAACATAATGAAACAGCAAGTACTTAAGGAATAAACAGGAACATAAGGAAACAACAAGTACTTGAGGAATGAACAGGAACATAAGGAAACAACAAGAACTTAAGGAATAAAGAACATAAGGAAACAACAAGAACTTAAGGAATAAACAGGAACATAAGGAAACAACAAGTACTTAAGGAATAACAGGAACATAAGGAAACAACAAGTACTTGAGGAATAAAGAACATAAGGAAACAACAACAACTTAAGGAATAAACAGGAACATAAGGAAACAACAAGTACTTAAGGAATAAACAGGAACATAAGGAAACAACAAGAACTTAAGGAATAAAGAACATAAGGAAACAACAAGAACTTAAGGAATAAACAGGAACATGAGGAAACAACAAGTACTTAAGGAATAACTGGAACATAAGGAAACAACAAGTACTTGAGGAATAAACAGGAACATAAGGAAACAACAAGAACTTAAGGAATGAAGAACATAAGGAAACAACAAGAACTTAAGGAATAAACAGGAACATAAGGAAACAACAAGTACTTAAGGAATAAACAGGATCATAAGGAAACAACAAGTACTTGAGGAATAAACAGGAACATAAGGAAACAACAAGTACTTAAGGAATAAACAGGATCATAAGGGAACAACAAGTACTTGAGGAATAAACAGGAACTTAAGGAAACAACAAGTACTTAAGGAATAAACAGGATCATAAGGAAACAACAAGTACTTAAGGAATAAACAGGAACATAAGGAAACAACAAGTACTTAAGGAATAAACAGGATCATAAGGAAACAACAAGTACTTAAGGAATAAACAGGAACATAAGGAAACAACAAGAACTTAAGGAATGAAGAACATAAGGAAACAACAAGAACTTAAGGAATAAACAGGAACATAAGGAAACAACAAGTACTTAAGGAATAAACAGGATCATAAGGAAACAACAAGTACTTGAGGAATAAACAGGAACATAAGGAAACAACAAGTACTTAAAGAATAAACAGGATCATAAGGGAACAACAAGTACTTGAGGAATAAACAGGAACATAAGGAAACAACAAGTACTTAAGGAATAAACAGGATCATAAGGAAACAACAAGTACTTAAGGAATAAACAGGAACATAAGGAAACAACAAGTACTTAAGGAACATACAGGAACATAAGGAAACAACAAGTACTTAAGGAATAAACAGGAACATAAGGAAACAAAAAGGACATAGGAAATAAACAATAACTTAAGGAATAAACAGGAACATAAGGAAACAACAAGTACTTAAGGAATAAACAGGATCATAAGGAAACAATAAGTACTTGAGGAATAAACAGGAACATAAGGAAACAACAAGTACTTAAGGAATAAACAGGATCATAAGGAAACAACAAGTACTTAAGGAATAAACAGGAACATAAGGAAACAACAAGTACTTAAGGAATAAACAGGAACATAAGGAAACAACAAGAACTTAAGGAATAAACAGTAACATAAGGAAACAAAAAGGACATAAGGAATAAACAAGGGCATAGTAAAGGAAATTAACGTATCAAATGACCATGTCCATTCCATCAGTATGTTCCCCGGTGTATGTGAAGGAGTTATTCTGTTACAGTTATCCCGACACGGCAAAACACCGTATAGTATAGTACTCAGTTCTCTCCAGCTACCCTTGCGCTCCATCACTGCAACTACTTAAATAATGTAGATAAAGTCTGGGATATAGATGTTAAACAATGGCGGGATGACGATACTTTATTAAAGACATATGTGTCACAACCAATAATACAGTAGCGTATGATTTCCGACATGAAAACTTAACAAAATCTGTAGATTTATAGCCATTTGGCGGGAGTCAGTACGCCTAATTAGCGCTGTAAATTGCTAATGCATATCACACAATATGCGGGCTCAACCTGCAGTTACGCATGTAAATATCACAGTCATTTCTTAGGCTGCTTGTTAATCAGCTTCCTTGGATGGGGACTCAAATTATCCAAAATCAATGTCCCGAGTTTCATAACTGGTACTCTGCGCATGCGCTGTGATCCCCGCTGACCCCAAGGGCAGCTTATCCTTCACATATCTCATAAAACCTAAATCAGCGAACTATAGAGCGATTAAGAAGCTTTTATGTTTCATAGTTTTAATTTTACCCACTCGTCATAAAATCATTGATTTCGCTGCAACACGTTAGACTAGCGCACCGAACACAATCTCACCCAGAAACACTTGTGTTAGTCACGTGACCTCCTGTTTGACATGCGCGATGGGAAAGAACAGAGAGGAGTCTTGGTTAGCGATCATTAACTTTCTGATTCTGTAATAACATCAGTAAACACGCGGCCATGCGGGGAATGGCAAATAAGGCAGCCTCCAACATTTGGCACCATTTTCGTGTGGACTTGAAAGGACTTTCCTCGATAGAACCGCTTTAGTAGCTTGATAGGCTTGAATGATGAATCTAAGTACACTTCTATCGCCGCCATCTTGGATCCCAGGCATTCGCAAGACACGGGGTCGCCGTAACAGATACGGAGCGATCCAGTTGACAAAAAAACTGATGCTTATAAGTATTAAGTTCAATATGACTGTTCTCTGAGTCACGGGGATCCTCCAATACCGTGGTTCAAAACTCTCTAGCCTAATGTACGGTAGGCAAAATTTACTCTGTCATCAACTCTTGGCTAAAGAGCCACTAGACTTCTCCTCACTCAATGGCAAATGGAAAACAAACCGGTGCATGAGGGTGTTGCTGCTTCCTGTCCAATATTGAGGGTCAATGATCAATTAACATTTGTGAATACTGGACACTCTCTAAACCGGACACTTCCCCATTCCTCCTTTGTCGTGGCGTCTGTGAACATGTGTGAAGGTTTCTGTATCGTTCTGTCAACATAACATCGATATGTTAATTATTCTCTAGAGGAAACATGTCGTTTTGATGTCCTCGGTGTTGCAGAAATTCTGCGGTCACTCGAGCACAGAGACGGTGTTTGGGGAGAGGGAACGCACAGAGACGGTGTTGGGGAGGGGGAACGCACAGAGACGGTGTTGGCGGAGGGGGAACGCACGGAGACGGTGTTTGGGGAGGTGGAACGCACAGAGACGGTGTTGGGGGAGGGGGAACGCACAGAGAAGGTGTTGGGGGGGCGCACAGAGACGGTGTTGGGGGAGGGGGAACGCACAGAGACGGTGTTGGGGGAGGGGGAACGCACGGAGACGGTGTTTGGGGAGGTGGAACGCACAGAGACGGTGTTGGGGGAGGGGGAACGCACAGAGAAGGTGTTGGGGGGGCGCACAGAGACGGTGTTGGGGGAGGGGGAACGCACAGAGACGGTGTTGGGGGGGCGCACAGAGACGGTGTTGGGGGAGGGGGAACGCACAGAGACGGTGTTGGGGGAGGGGGAACGCACGGAGACGGTGTTTGGGGAGGTGGAACGCACAGAGACGGTGTTGGGGGAGGGGGAACGCACAGAGAAGGTGTTGGGGGGGCGCACAGAGACGGTGTTGGGGGAGGGGGAACGCACAGAGACGGTGTTGGGGGAGGTGGAACGCACAGAGACGGTGTTGGGGGAGGGGGAACGCACAGAGAAGGTGTTGGGGGGGCGCACAGAGACGGTGTTGGGGGAGGGGGAACGCACAGAGACGGTGTTGGGGGAGGTGGAACGCACAGAGACGGTGTTGGGGGAGGGGGAACGCACAGAGAAGGTGTTGGGGGGGCGCACAGAGACGGTGTTGGGGGAGGGGGAACGCACAGAGACGGTGTTGGGGGGGCGCACAGAGACGGTGTTGGGGGAGGGGGAACGCACAGAGAAGGTGTTGGGGGGGCGCACAGAGACGGTGTTGGGGGAGGGGGAACGCACAGAGACGGTGTTGGGGGAGGTGGAACGCACAGAGACGGTGTTGGGGGAGGGGGAACGCACAGAGAAGGTGTTGGGGGGGCGCACAGAGACGGTGTTGGGGGAGGGGGAACGCACAGAGACGGTGTTGGGGGAGGTGGAACGCACAGAGACGGTGTTGGGGGAGGGGGAACGCACAGAGAAGGTGTTGGGGGGGCGCACAGAGACGGTGTTGGGGGAGGTGGAACGCACAGAGAAGGTGTTGGGGGGGCGCACAGAGACGGTGTTGGGGGAGGGGGAACGCACGGAGACGGTGTTTGGGGAGGTGGAACGCACAGAGACGGTGTTGGGGGAGGGGGAACGCACAGAGAAGGTGTTGGGGGGGCGCACAGAGACGGTGTTGGGGGAGGGGGAACGCACAGAGAAGGTGTTGGGGGGGCGCACAGAGACGGTGTTGGGGGAGGGGGAACGCACAGAGAAGGTGTTGGGGGGGCGCACAGAGACGGTGTTGGGGGGGCGCACAGAGACGGTGTTGGGGGAGGTGGAACGCACAGAGACGGTGTTGGGGGAGGGGGAACGCACAGAGACGGTGTTGGGGGAGGTGGAACGCACAGAGAAGGTGTTGGGGGGGCGCACAGAGACGGTGTTGGGGGAGGTGGAACGCACAGAGAAGGTGTTGGGGGGGCGCACAGAGACGGTGTTGGGGGGGCGCACAGAGACGGTGTTGGGGGAGGTGGAACGCACAGAGACGGTGTTGGGGGAGGGGGAACGCACAGAGAAGGTGTTGGGGGGGCGCACAGAGACGGTGTTGGGGGAGGGGGAACGCACAGAGAAGGTGTTGGGGGGGCGCACAGAGACGGTGTTGGGGGAGGGGGAACGCACGGAGACGGTGTTTGGGGAGGTGGAACGCACAGAGACGGTGTTGGGGGAGGGGGAACGCACAGAGAAGGTGTTGGGGGGGCGCACAGAGACGGTGTTGGGGGAGGGGGAACGCACAGAGAAGGTGTTGGGGGGGCGCACAGAGACGGTGTTGGGGGAGGGGGAACGCACAGAGAAGGTGTTGGGGGGGCGCACAGAGACGGTGTTGGGGGGGCGCACAGAGACGGTGTTGGGGGAGGTGGAACGCACAGAGACGGTGTTGGGGGAGGGGGAACGCACAGAGAAGGTGTTGGGGGGGCGCACAGAGAAGGTGTTGGGGGAGGGGGAACGCACAGAGAAGGTGTTGGGGGGGCGCACAGAGACGGTGTTGGGGGAGGGGGAACGCACAGAGAAGGTGTTGGGGGGGCGCACAGAGACGGTGTTGGGGGAGGGGGAACGCACAGAGAAGGTGTTGGGGGGGCGCACAGAGACGGTGTTGGGGGAGGGGGAACGCACGGAGACGGTGTTTGGGGAGGTGGAACGCACAGAGACGGTGTTGGGGGAGGGGGAACGCACAGAGAAGGTGTTGGGGGGGCGCACAGAGACGGTGTTGGGGGAGGGGGAACGCACAGAGAAGGTGTTGGGGGGGCGCACAGAGACGGTGTTGGGGGAGGGGGAACGCACAGAGAAGGTGTTGGGGGGGCGCACAGAGACGGTGTTGGGGGGGCGCACAGAGACGGTGTTGGGGGAGGTGGAACGCACAGAGACGGTGTTGGGGGAGGGGGAACGCACAGAGACGGTGTTGGGGGAGGGGGAACGCACAGAGAAGGTGTTGGGGGGGCGCACAGAGACGGTGTTGGGGGAGGGGGAACGCACGGAGACGGTGTTTGGGGAGGTGGAACGCACAGAGACGGTGTTGGGGGAGGGGGAACGCACAGAGAAGGTGTTGGGGGGGCGCACAGAGACGGTGTTGGGGGGGCGCACAGAGACGGTGTTGGGGGAGGTGGAACGCACAGAGACGGTGTTGGGGGAGGGGGAACGCACAGAGACGGTGTTGGGGGAGGGGGAACGCACAGAGAAGGTGTTGGGGGGGCGCACAGAGACGGTGTTGGGGGAGGGGGAACGCACGGAGACGGTGTTTGGGGAGGTGGAACGCACAGAGACGGTGTTGGGGGAGGGGGAACGCACAGAGAAGGTGTTGGGGGGGCGCACAGAGACGGTGTTGGGGGAGGGGGAACGCACAGAGAAGGTGTTGGGGGGGCGCACAGAGACGGTGTTGGGGGAGGGGGAACGCACAGAGAAGGTGTTGGGGGGGCGCACAGAGAAGGTGTTGGGGGAGGGGGAACGCACAGAGACGGTGTTGGGGGGGCGCACAGAGACGGTGTTGGGGGAGGGGGAACGCACAGAGACGGTGTTGGGGGGGCGCACAGAGAAGGTGTTGGGGGAGGGGGAACGCACAGAGACGGTGTTGGGGGGGCGCACAGAGACGGTGTTGGGGGGGCGCACAGAGAAGGTGTTGGGGGGGCGCACAGAGACGGTGTTGGGGGGGCGCACAGAGACGGTGTTGGGGGAGGGGGAACGCACAGAGACGGTGTTGGGGGAGGGGGAACGCACAGAGACGGTGTTGGGGGGGCGCACAGAGAAGGTGTTGGGGGGGCGCACAGAGAAGGTGTTGGGGGGGCGCACAGAGACGGTGTTGGGGGGGCGCACAGAGACGGTGTTGGGGGAGGGGGAACGCACAGAGACGGTGTTGGGGGAGGGGGAACGCACAGAGACGGTGTTTGGGGGGGGGGCGCACAGACGGCGCGCACAGACGGTGTTGGGGGAGGGGGAACGCACAGAGACGGTGTTGGGACACACATGAACATACGTTAGGATATGTTAATATAAAGGTATGGAGAGGTTGCTGGGATTTGTAACTATAACCATATGGAGAGGGAGTAACTATAGAAATATAAGAGGTGTTGGGATATTTAACTGTAAACGTATGGAGAGGGAGTTGGGATATGTAACTCTAAACGTATGAAGAGGGAGTTGGGACATATAGCTATAGAAATATAAGAGGTGTTGGGATATGTAACTCAAAACGTATGAAGAGGGAGTTGGGACATATAGCTATAGAAATATAAGAGGTGTTGGGATATGTAACTCTAAACGTATGAAGAAGGAGTTGGGACATATAGCTATAGAAATATAAGAGGTGTTGGGATATGTAACTCTAAACGTATGGAGAGGGACATACTGAACTTAGCTATAGAAGTATGAGGAGGTTTTATTGACATATTATTAAACTTATGCAGAGGGTGTTGGGACACCACACTACAGAGGTATGAAAAGAAATGTTAATATAAAGGTATGGAGAGGTTGCTGGGATATGTAACTATAACCATATGGAGAGGGAGTAACTATAGAAATATAAGAGGTGTTGGGATATTTAACTGTAAACGTATGGAGAGGGAGTTGGGATATGTAACTCTAAACGTATGAAGAGGGAGTTGGGACATATAGCTATAGAAATATAAGAGGTGTTGGGATATGTAACTCAAAACGTATGAAGAGGGAGTTGGGACATATAGCTATAGAAATATAAGAGGTGTTGGGATATGTAACTCTAAACGTATGAAGAAGGAGTTGGGACATATAGCTATAGAAATATAAGAGGTGTTGGGATATGTAACTCTAAACGTATGGAGAGGGACATACTGAACTTAGCTATAGAGGTATGAGGAGGTTTTATTGACATATTATTAAACTTATGCAGAGGGAGTTGGGACACCACACTACAGAGGTATGAAAAGAAATGTTAATATAAAGGTATGGAGAGGTTGCTGGGATATGTAACTATAACCATATGGAGAGGGAGTAACTATAGAAATATAAGAGGTGTTGGGATATTTAACTGTAAACGTATGGAGAGGGAGTTGGGATATGTAACTCTAAACGTATGAAGAGGGAGTTGGGACATATAGCTATAGAAATATAAGAGGTGTTGGGATATGTAACTCAAAACGTATGAAGAGGGAGTTGGGACATATAGCTATAGAAATATAAGAGGTGTTGGGATATGTAACTCTAAACGTATGAAGAGGGAGTTGGGACATATAGCTATAGAAATATAAGAGGTGTTGGGATATTTAACTCAAAACGTATGAAGAGGGAGTTGGGACATATAGCTATAGAAATATAAGAGGTGTTGGGATATGTAACTCTAAACGTATGAAGAGGGAGTTGGGACATATAGCTATAGAAATATAAGAGGTGTTGGGATATGTAACTCTAAACGTATGGAGAGGGACATACTGAACTTAGCTATAGAAGTATGAGGAGGTTTTATTGACATATTATTAAACTTATGCAGAGGGTGTTGGGACACCACACTACAGAGGTATGAAAAGAAATGTTAATATAAAGGTATGGAGAGGTTGCTGGGATATGTAACTATAACCATATGGAGAGGGAGTAACTATAGAAATATAAGAGGTGTTGGGATATTTAACTGTAAACGTATGGAGAGGGAGTTGGGATATGTAACTCTAAACGTATGAAGAGGGAGTTGGGACATATAGCTATAGAAATATAAGAGGTGTTGGGATATGTAACTCTAAACGTATGAAGAGGGAGTTGGGACATATAGCTATAGAAATATAAGAGGTGTTGGGATATTTAACTCAAAACGTATGAAGAGGGAGTTGGGACATATAGCTATAGAAATATAAGAGGTGTTGGGATATGTAACTCTAAACGTATGAAGAGGGAGTTGGGACATATAGCTATAGAAATATAAGAGGTGTTGGGATATGTAACTCTAAACGTATGGAGAGGGACATACTGAACTTATCTATAGAAGTATGAGGAGGTTTTATTGACACATTATTAAACTTATGCAGAGGGTGTTGGGACACCACACTACAGAGGTATGAAAAGAAATGTTAATATAAAGGTATGGAGAGGTTGCTGGGATATGTAACTATAACCATATGGAGAGGGAGTAACTATAGAAATATAAGAGGTGTTGGGATATTTAACTGTAAACGTATGGAGAGGGAGTTGGGATATGTAACTCTAAACGTATGAAGAGGGAGTTGGGACATATAGCTATAGAAATATAAGAGGTGTTGGGATATGTAACTCAAAACGTATGAAGAGGGAGTTGGGACATATAGCTATAGAAATATAAGAGGTGTTGGGATATGTAACTCTAAACGTATGAAGAGGGAGTTGGGACATATAGCTATAGAAATATAAGAGGTGTTGGGATATTTAACTCAAAACGTATGAAGAGGGAGTTGGGACATATAGCTATAGAAATATAAGAGGTGTTGGGATATGTAACTCTAAACGTATGAAGAGGGAGTTGGGACATATAGCTATAGAAATATAAGAGGTGTTGGGATATGTAACTCAAAACGTATGAAGAGGGAGTTGGGACATATAGCTATAGAAATATAAGAGGTGTTGGGATATGTAACTCTAAACGTATGAAGAGGGAGTTGGGACATATAGCTATAGAAATATAAGAGGTGTTGGGATATTTAACTCAAAACGTATGAAGAGGGAGTTGGGACATATAGCTATAGAAATATAAGAGGTGTTGGGATATGTAACTCTGAACGTATGAAGAGGGAGTTGGGACATATAGCTATAGAAATATAAGAGGTGTTGGGATATGTAACTCTAAACGTATGGAGAGGGACATACTGAACTTAGCTATAGAAGTATGAGGAGGTTTTATTGACATATTATTAAACTTATGCAGAGGGTGTTGGGACACCACACTACAGAGGTATGAAAAGACTTTTGGGAAGTATGGAGAGGGTGTTGGGACATATGGCTATTAAAGTACGATGAGGTGATTGGACATCAGTAAAGTATTATGAGGGTGTGACAATTAACTATAGAAGTACGGAGAGGGTGGTGTGACAAATAACTATAGAAGTACGGAGAGGGTGGTGGGACAAATAACTATAGAAGTACGGAGAGGGTGGTGTGATTAATAACCTCAGAAGTACGGAGAGGGTGGTGGGACAAATAACTATAGAAGTATGGAGAGGGTGGTGGTACAAATAACTATAAAAGTATGGAGAGGGTGGTGGTACAAATAACTATAAAAGTATGGAGAGGGTGGTGGGACAAATAACTATAAAAGTATGGAGAGGGTGGTGGGACAAATAACTATAAAAGTACGGAGAGGGTGGTGGGACAAATAACTATAGAAGTACGGAGAGGGTGGTGTGACAAATAACTATAGAAGTACGGAGAGGGTGGTGGGACAAATAACTATAGAAGTACGGAGAGGGTGGTGGGACAAATAACTATAGAAGTATGGAGAGGGTGGTGGGACAAATAACTATAGAAGTTCGGAGAGGGTGGTGGGACAAATAACTATAGAAGTACGGAGAGGGTGGTGTGACAAATAACAATAGAAGTACGGAGAGGGTGGTGTGATTAATAACCTCAGAAGTACGGAGAGGGTGGTGTGACAAATGACTATAGAAGTACGGAGAGGGTAGTGTGACAAATGACTATAGAAGTACGAAAAGGGTGGTGGGACAAATAACTATAGAAGTTCGGAGAGGGTGGTGGGACAAATAACTATAGAAGTACGGAGAGGGTGGTGGGACAAATAACAATAGAAGTACGGAGAGGGTGGTGTGATTAATAACCACAGAAGTACGGAGAGGGTGGTGTGATTAATAACCTCAGAAGTACGGAGAGGGTGGTGTGACAAATGACTATAGAAGTACGGAGAGGGTAGTGTGACAAATGACTATAGAAGTACGGAGAGGGTGGTGTGACAAATAACTATAGAAGTTCGGAGAGGGTGGTGGGACAAATAACTATAGAAGTACGGAGAGGGTGGTGTGACAAATAACAATAGAAGTACGGAGAGGGTGGTGTGATTAATAACCTCAGAAGTACGGAGAGGGTGGTGTGACAAATGACTATAGAAGTACGGAGAGGGTAGTGTGACAAATGACTATAGAAGTACGAAAAGGGTGGTGGGACAAATAACTATAGAAGTTCGGAGAGGGTGGTGGGACAAATAACTATAGAAGTACGGAGAGGGTGGTGGGACAAATAACAATAGAAGTACGGAGAGGGTGGTGTGATTAATAACCACAGAAGTACGGAGAGGGTGGTGTGATTAATAACCTCAGAAGTACGGAGAGGGTGGTGTGACAAATGACTATAGAAGTACGGAGAGGGTAGTGTGACAAATGACTATAGAAGTACGGAGAGGGTGGTGTGACAAATAACTATAGAAGTACGGAAAGGGTGGTGGGACAAATAACTATAAAAGTACGGAGAGGGTGGTGTGACAAATAACTATAGAAGTACGGAAAGGGTGGTGGGACAAATAACAATAGAAGTACGGAGAGGGTGGTGTGACAAATAACTATAGAAGTACGGAAAGGGTGGTGGGACAAATAACTATAAAAGTACGGAGAGGGTGGTGTGACAAATAACTATAGAAGTACGGAAAGGGTGGTGTGACAAATAACTATAGAAGTACGGAGAGGGTGGTGTGACAAATAACTATAGAAGTACGGAGAGGGTGGTGGGACAAATAACTATAGAAGTACGGAGAGGGTGGTGTGACAAATAACTATAGAAGTACGGAGAGGGTGGTGGGACAAATAACTATAGAAGTACGGAGAGGGTGGTGTGACAAATAACTATAGAAGTACGGAAAGGGTGGTGGGACAAATAACTATAGAAGTACGGAGAGGGTGGTGTGACAAATAACTATAGAAGTACGGAGAGGGTGGTGGGACAAATAACTATAGAAGTACGGAGAGGGTGGTGTGACAAATAACTATAGAAGTATGGAGAGGGTGGTGGGACAAATAACTATAGAAGTAT